TCCATTTAAACAAGGCAGGCCGGCCAGTAATGCACTTTGAATTAAAATTATGATTATGCAGTTTCAGCTAAGGCTATCAGAGTAATTCTGAGCTAATAACTCATTTGCTCAGTGGGGAGATATTAAAGAGAACCTGATTCAGATGTTATTTGCAAGTCCAACATTTACGACCTCTCTCATGCTAAAAATAAATGAGAATAAAGAGGAAAAGTGTCACAAATATGGACTGTCTGTGTGGGTTTTCCCTCGTGTGTGACATGTCCATATTTGGTTTTTCCGGTTCCTGTACCCATTATGTGTTTATTGTTTCCAGGTGTGTCTCATTATTAGTTCATCCTCCTCACCTGTCTGCCCCTCGTTAGCTGCCCTTTTTAAGTTCTAGCCTGTGCTATTCTCCCTTGTCCGGTATTGAATGTGAACGTATGTTCCTGTCTGCCCTGTGTACCCCGTGTTGGAAGGATTAAAGACTGTGTTTACTGTGAATTCTCCTGCGTCTCCTCATTCCTCGCTCCTCACAGTAGCTGATTGTGACAAAATGTATGTGCTTTTCAATGAAATAAAAAGACTGCAGCACAATGTGTAATGCAATAATGTGAAAAGTGTTCAATCCTATAGTGCCATTCAACTGTAGTTGTTATTGTTAACGAAAAATAAAACTATTAAAAATCATTTCCTTAATATATATATGGTAAGATTCACCGATTCGCATCAGCATAAAAGTTAATGATACGATACATCGATTTAAAAAAGTGTGCATCGGATACAAATTGGCATTTGTATAGCGATGCATCATTTCTAACGTATTTGCATTGATAAAAAATTATTTATTTATATATAATTATTGTTACATGCGCTATACTTGTATTATTTAGAAAGTGATTAATAATTTGTGACCAATATTTTATATGTAGATTGATTTCTCCTCAACTGTTTCTCAAGCGTGTTCTCTCATCACCGCTGCTGCTACGTGAATATGATGAATCACAACACATCAGAGATCCAGATATTCTGAGAGTTACATAGAATATAGATTAACATGATTGTCTGTCTGAGCAAACTATCTGTACCATAATGAATTGCATAGCATCATATTTTTTTCCATTGCATTGAATCGCATTGTGTTGAATCGAATCGGATCACGCTGCATCGTAATAGAGGAAGAATCGTATCTCATCGCATCGGTATCTGCTTTATATGTATCTTTAATGTATTGTGTCGTTGGCTATGCATCGAGATGTGTATCGCATTGGCCTCAGTTATGGAGTTATGGAGATGCACATCCCTATTATATATATATATATATATATATAATAAAAAAAAAATTGGAATCTGATTGCATAATCCAGATGTAATCTGTTACTGCCTAACACTGACTATATATACTCACTTGGTCCCCAACTCTCATTGAAAATAAATGACTTCAGCTGCTTTGTTGCTGCAAATCACTGTCAGTGTGAACCTTTGCGTGCAAATCTAGGTTTTTGTCCAAACCAGTGGTAACAAGGACAACCTCAATAAGATATTTTGGCACTACTTTTGCGTCACACTGGGTCACCCCACCTCTCCACATAGTTATTGCATCCATCCATTTTATATGAAGGACAAGTGGGGATGCTGGATCCCATCCCAGTGTCTCCGACCATAGGCAGCAAAACACCCTGCATTTCCCAAAAGCATTGTTAGCCAGCTATGGCACCGCATACCCCATCTATGGCCCTGAATTTTTGTATTATTAGTGGTATTAACAGATATTTGGCAGACAGAAATTGAATAATGAGTCCCTGAACAATTCAATATCCAAAGTCACAGTGAGTATGTGTATCCCCCAGCTGCTTTAAGTACAGTGCATCTCATCATCATCGACTGAACCAGATTTTCCATTTATTGCTATGAGATGTTTCCACAGTCTTCCACCAAAGCACTTGCAAGTTCTTGAACGTGTTTGGAGGAACACATGGTAACGTGGTTTGCCACTTCAAAGACAATCAGCTGTCCTTCCTGTCTTCCTGTAGCTCTGTCTTAGGTATATATATATATATAATTAAAAAAAAATTGGAATCTGATTGCATAATCCAGATGTAATCTGTTACTGCCTAACACTGACTATATATACTCACTTGGTCCCCAACTCTCATTGAAAATAAATGACTTCAGCTGCTTTGTTGCTGCAAATCACTGTCAGTGTGAACCTTTGCGTGCAAATCTAGGTTTTTGTCCAAACCAGTGGTAACAAGGACAACCTCAATAAGATATTTTGGCACTACTTTTGCGTCACACTGGGTCACCCCACCTCTCCACATAGTTATTGCATCCATCCATTTTATATGAAGGACAAGTGGGGATGCTGGATCCCATCCCAGTGTCTCCGACCATAGGCAGCAAAACACCCTGCATTTCCCAAAAGCATTGTTAGCCAGCTATGGCACCGCATACCCCATCTATGGCCCTGAATTTTTGTATTATTAGTGGTATTAACAGATATTTGGCAGACAGAAATTGAATAATGAGTCCCTGAACAATTCAATATCCAAAGTCACAGTGAGTATGTGTATCCCCCAGCTGCTTTAAGTACAGTGCATCTCATCATCATCGACTGAACCAGATTTTCCATTTATTGCTATGAGATGTTTCCACAGTCTTCCACCAAAGCACTTGCAAGTTCTTGAACGTGTTTGGAGGAACACATGGTAACGTGGTTTGCCACTTCAAAGACAATCAGCTGTCCTTCCTGTCTTCCTGTAGCTCTGTCTTAGGCGTCTTACATTACAGACATTGCAGTTTATTGCTCAGGCCACATCTGCAGTCCTCATGCCTCCCTGCAGCATCAGGAACCCTGGTCATCTTTCTTCTTCATTCACTGTGGACAAAAATTATGCACCTGGTTTGGACTTTAAAGCAATTTAGTCTGGCAAAGCAAAAAGATAAGAAAATAAGTTTTTCCAAATGAAGAGTCAAGCCATTTTATGTGGAATACATTGTTTTCAACGCTGACAACCTAAAAGGGCACTTTAGACATAAAAACATTCAAGTGATGTTGATTGAAAACCAGTTCAAATAAGAATTTGGCTTTCTCATTCATACATGCATGCTTTTATTTATACTGTTTTAAATGCCTGTTTAAAAGCAATGGAAAGTTTGCTTCTTGGTGGCTCGGTGGAAAGTTTCTCCTCAAATATGCTGTTTTGATTGAAACATGAGGGAGAGAGAGAATGGAGAGAGAGCTGCATAATCTTTGCTTTATTCCTGTTGGCCACAAGGGAAATAATTTACAGTTAGTTGTGCAACATCCCTGCAGCAATTCTATCCAAAATAATGAATTGATTTTTCTTGGAAAGCAATTGTGAAGCCAATGTACTCTTTAATTGGCTTCAGCTTTTGAGGTGTAATTGAAAGCATAGATTTATTTGCATGTGTCATCTAACAGGGAAACTTTTAAATTGGCAAGCTCAGGACAGAGTATTTTAAAAGTTAGTCCATTACCGTGAAGTACTATAACTGCTGTAGCCCAATAGGATTTATACAAAGTGAATGAGAATCTCAATCCCATTTAAGTTTGTCACAAATGACTATTTTGAACAGGTACGTCCTATTCTTCAAGCTTCATATATTTTACAGCATGTATTCTTCTTTTACTTTCTGATTAAGATCTATGTTCTGTTAAGCATTTATTCCAGATAAGATATTTAAATGCTTTACAGCTATTGTAATTTTCCAGTATCATAATAGTGCTTTCCTCTTATGAAAACACTAAAAATGCTCTTGCCATTTATTTTAATTAAATTTAGTAATTCAGCTCATTAATTCTTAACCAACTTACGATGTCAGTTTAAATGAAATGAAATGCTAAAGTCATGTTAGATTAAGAAAATAATATAAAAAAAAAAAAAACGTATTATTGATTATTAGCGGACTTTCCCGAAAAGGAAAAGAAAAAAAAAAACATCTCAATGCACTATTGATATGCTCTTTCATTACTTTTTTTTTACTCCAAATAAGCACAACATTATTTATTTTAATTAAATGTAGTAATTCAGCTCATTAATTCTTAACCAACTTACGATGTCAGTTTAAATGAAATGAAATGCTAAAGTGATGTTAGATTAAGAAAATAATATAAAAAAAAAAAAAAACGTATTATTGATTATTAGCGGACTTTCCCGAAAAGGAAAAGAAAAAAAAAAACATCTCAATGCACTATTGATATGCTCTTTCATTACTTTTTTTTTACTCCAAATAAGCACAACATTTGAGTTCAAATCAGCCTGCACTGGTTTTGTGGATCAACCCTATTTGCTCTCTTCCCAGCATGCACTGAGGCATAAATAATGAATATGGTTGCATTGTTTGACTGTTTGCCCGTTTTATCTACATTGTTATTGTTGATGATGGTGTCACAAGTAGTAACTTGAGTTGTCTTGTGATGTCAGAATGAATTTGTTCCTTTTCTCAAATAATCATTGTTAGTTGTAGCCATTGTTATGATTCATGTACCAAGCATTGGCATCTGTATGTGGCAATTTAAGGAGATTTGTGGGTATTTTTTGTTTGAAAGTTTTTATGTGATGAACGTTCATGTCATGCAAACCTTTTCAGACTATTTTGTTTACAGAGAGTGACTGCATTTCAGTCATTTATTCTACAATATTGTACTATTATAGAAAAATCATGCAATGTAATTCTCAAAAATACACATTTTGAAGAATTTGCATTGGAAAATCTGAAGGGACGCATTCCTGTGTTGTGAACGCTTCTAATTTCAGGTGTCTGAATGAGTTCTAAAACCAGTCAACCAGAATTTATATTGCTCTGACATTTTATGAGAGAGAGGAAAGCTCATGGCTTTTGACTTTAATATAGATACTGTTTTTACACTTTATTAAGCAGTTTAGCCCTGACTCCAGGGCTTTCCTGAACATTCAGGTCTTTGGAACGGTGAACTTCTATTAACCTCCTGACTCATGCTCTCTCTCATTCTCCCTCTTTCTTTCTTCCATATCCAGGACACTGAGATTATCAACACGGCAGTTCTTACTGGCCGAACTGTGGCCATCCCTGTCAAGGTAGTTTCCATAGAGCTGAACGGAGCAGTCACTGATGTGTCATCCTTTGTGCAGTGCAAGTCATTCAATGAGGACATTGTCAAGGTACGTCACGCCCACGTTGAGAGGTTTAGTGATCTAGGACTTCCTCTACTATTCTCATAATCAATCGCGGTCAACTTAAGAGACCATAAAATGACCATCAAAACCTCATTTAAGTGGAGTGGATATGAGTTTATATATGCTCCTGTGGACACTGCTTTTGTGATCCCCTCGAGGGATCGATGCCTTTTCAGTCTCAGACAGTACATCAGAAGGGTTCAGTGCTCTGCAGAGCAGCGTTTCCCACTGAATAGCAGCAGAGGCCACACACTTAACTTGTGTTTAATGCCTCTTAAATGAAGAGTCTCCTAGAAAGCAGTGCACCAAAGCTCTTTTTATAAACTAAAATGATACATCTTTACCCTAAAGTCATTTTGAACTTGTATTTATTTTTATAGATGTATAAAATGATTTTTTCATGCAGCTGTTTTCCATACTGTGACAATTATGATGTCATTTAAAGTCCAAAAATGAAGCACCATAAGGCCTCTAAATCCAGATTTAAGTAATATTCATTACCTCCAGTAAGCTGTTAACTCAAAAACTAGATATTTTGTGTGAACTGTTCCTGTGGGAACTTCCAAGGGGGCTGTAGGACAACTTAAGCTGATTTGAATATATTATTATTAATATGATTTATATTCATATTATTATTAATAATCAGTGTTGAGGAAAGTTATTTTCAAAAGAAATGCATTACAATATTGCACTACTCCATAAAAATGTAACTATTTACATTACTTTTTAAGAAAAGTAATGCATTATGTTACTTTTGCGTTACTTTTTGTCACCTGAGCTGGGCTTGCTTATTTGTTTTTAATAGCAAAAAATCCAAAAGCCATATTTTTGGAAACTGTAAAGGCCCTTTCACACCAAAAACGAAATTAATACGCCTCAGCCTGAAGGAAGTCCCTCTGCACCTCTCTCCCAATTTCTCTCAACATGGGGGCAGGAGAGGTGTCAGTGAGTAAATGGGAAAGCAAAGCAACTTGCATTACTTATTTGAAAAAGTAACTCAGATATTTTCTTGTACATTTAAAAGTAATGTGTTACTTTACTAGTTACTTGACAAAAGTAATCTGATTATGTAACTTGCTTTACCTGTACTGTTACTCCCAACGCTGTTAATAATAATTATAATCTAACTTAATGAAAATGATTAAAAATACATAAAAAAATAAATAAATTATAGTTTTTTGAATGCCTACAAATTCTTAAAATATATGTTTATTAGTATGACTTTGAAAAATAAAATACTACTAATAAAAAAAAGACTACTAGCGGAAATATCTTACATCTTTGAAAATTGTGTTAGACAATGAAGGGCCATCAGATCAACAAAGTTAAAAACTGCTGCTTTAAAATTTTATTCTGTGTCTTCGACTAAATTCCATCTCAATTCAATGGCTAAGCTTATGTATTTTTGTCAATGAATGAATTTATTTCTCTGTATTTACACAAGGGGCAGTTGGTTCCACCTGAGCGCTTATAAATACAGGCCCGAAAATATTGCAGTGTCCTTTGCTGAAGGAAACAGTCATTTCAACAATCTTCGCCATCTGTTCCATGGCACGACAGAATCTAAAAGTAGAAAACCAATTAGACTATAAACCGTATCCAAAATGTAGCGAAATAATAATATGCCTCGGAGTGTCATCTGTCCGGCAAGATTGAGATCCATAAGTCATCCGAGATGGGCTGTGAGGGCATTTGTTATTTATCTGTTTTAAGATTCAGAATAGCCGTGTGTGCCGCAGTGCCTGGGCAGAGCATTAGCTCTGGTGTTATTGAGTGGGTTTGCTTGGCCGCCCGGGCCATTGAACTTTGGAGGCTAATTCAAGATGAGCCCTTCAAGCTGAGACAACATGAGTCCTGACAGTTCAATAAAACGCTCTGTGCAGTGCCGAAAAAAAGCGTCATACAGAAGGCAAAGGTTACAGGGCCCAGTAACATCTTTTTTGCTTATCTTATTCAAAAGGTAGTCACGAGTATCTATTGTAACAGGGCTTATTCGCCTAGAGCCGAAGCATTTACTTCTGGATAGGGATGCCAGAACAGATGGGTACATGCATGGCTTTAAGAAAGACATTATATGCTGCACGCATGGAAATTACTTTTAATATCATGTTTGCCACAGGTTATGTATACAGGCTGGTCATAAAACACTCTCATATGACCAGCGGTGTATCTTTTGAGATTTTTGCATACATTTGAATGGTATAGTTATTTGTGTGTGTGTGTGTGTGTGTGTGTGTGTGTGTGTGTAATGAACATCTACATCGTTCTGTGTATTATATGAGAGTTTTGAATGATGAGACCCTGTGGGGCTTTGTGTTTGGGAGCAGGAAGCTGTAAACAGTCTGTCCCAGCTGATCTCTACTCTCAAGGCTCTGATAGTCACACTGGCCATCTGAGAACACATATTCCCATTCCATTTCAGTGCTTAGCTAGAATCCTCACTGCACACATTTCTAATACAGCAAACACATTTAGACATGAATAACCATGTAGAGAACGCTGAAGCCATAATTAGATGAGTCACATACCTTGATACCGGTACAATGCAGTCAATGTCTGAATAATATGTATAATGTATAATAATAGCAAATGTCATTTTATTATCTTCTGCCTTTAAAGATGATGTGAGTATTTTTAAATTAAAATGTTAAAATAATTTCTACTATCAAAGTTAATTATAGCAGAAATATTATGAAATTGATAGTTCTGGTCCTTGATACTGATTGGTCAATACAAAATTCCAGGAGTGCTATGAGTTACACATAGTAACCACTTTGATACAAATCACATTTACCATATCACTGTCATATGAAATATATGAAGCAGAATTTTTACAAAATAAGATTTTACTTTGGGACGCACTGGTTGTGAAGTTCTGGTCAATACAGATAAGCCGATAAGTAATTAAATATTTTTTTTTTATAAATAATTGAATTAAATAATTTTTTTAAAAATCATTTATTATACAAATGATAGCATTATACAAATATTATACAAATTTTATACAATATTATAAAAATTGTAATTTGATATAAAAAATGTATATGATTTTGTCTACATAAATTAATACCAAAACAGTAAGTCAATCATTTTAAATGCTAAAAATTAATTTAGATATCGCAATGTTTTAAGATTTGCTAAAGATTTATTTTTGCTAAATATTTAACAGTGTTATAAAATTATTTATTTTTCTAAGATTAACTTTAGGTAAGCTTTGACCGAAAAAAAAAAACATACTGTATAAATGAAAAATACAAGAAAATATATATATATATATGTATATATATATATATATATATATATATATCAGTCAGTACCAATAAATCTGTAATACTGACTCATGATTGATATTGTACCAGTATATTGTGCATTCCCAATTTGCACCCTTTCACTGTGACTACAATATAGCTTGGCCTCTTGTACATTGTTGCCTAAATTTAGCAGAGCTGGAACGCTGTATTTGCCAATAAGCGTTCAGGACTGGAAGCCTCCATTTTATACCAATATTTTAAGTGTGAAAACATTCTGTTTGTTAGAAGCTAGCTGTCATTTTTCATTAAATCATCAGCTTCTGCTTCAAGCTGTAGGCAGTATGTTCGTCTTTAACCATGTATAGTCAGCCTTTGCATGATACCATCAACACAGATAAAAGTGCATCTGCTAAACTGTGTGACGGCAGTCTGGATGGTGGAGGGTTACAGGGGGTGCTTTTTGGATTAAACACCGCTGGCGGGTGTGTTGAGCTGGAGGCGTCTCAATGGGCGGCACTATCCTGACCTCGCCCCTGCCACTCCTCTGGAACCACGCAAGGTACCAGGGCAGATTAGTGACTCCGTGGAACTCTGACTGCCGGCTAGCACGTAAAAAAGTACTTTCAGCTGGCCCCTGCTGCCCACAGTCCTTAACTGCTTTTGACTTAAAATTATCCATCCAAGTTTATTAGAAGCCCCAGGAGCATCTGGGTCAAGACTGAGCTCACATCAACAGAAGTGGCACAGCAGGAACACATTTACGAGACTGTAGAGTGCACTGGAAACCAGACAGGACATGCTCAACACTGCAGACTACTGCTGCTTTTGTTGTGTGCCACCTGAACCTATTGATAGTAACAATAGTGACTATTTTATTTGGGGTTACTAGTATTACTAGTATCTCACACTCACATCGTTCATTTTTATTCTCTCTTACTTGGAACACAAAAGGACCGTTTTGTGTTATTTAGATCTTTTGAAGCCATACAATAGTTTTCTGTGATGAGCAGACCGGAATGTAAAGGTGTAATTTTCTCTAGCAATGCCAAATTGCATTGCAAAAATAATGACTGTTTGACAACAGGTTTCCCAAACACTCCCCCTGTCTGCCAGTTGTCAAACCAACACACCGCCTGAACTTACTGAACTTTCTGGCTGATTGGGATGCAAACAGAGCAATATATTGATGCCTACATAGTGATTTACTTATAGTTCAATAATAACTACAAGTCTCAATATTGATTTAACAGCAATTGTATTGATAAGAATAGAGTGTAGGTAGGATTGATCTTGGTGGACTAGATCTGCTACGCTGTTGCTGCTGAAGGTAAAGTAGGGAGAACCTCATGGCAGATCTAGACAGGCGGTGCTGGGGAGGTGGAGGGCTAAAAAAAATCTCATGGCATGCAGTACTGAGCTGGACCAGGTTGAGTTGTGTAGATAGGTAGTAGTGTAGATCGATTGGAGAGTTACACGGCTGACCTATTATGCAGTACTGATCTGTGTACTACTGTACATATTAAGATGGAATAGGAGAAAGCATTTTAGCATAAAAATAAATAAAATTAAGAAAAAATACTATAACATCTTCTATACTATCAAAAAAATGAGGTTACCGGTTATTCTGTACATCTAGATTTAGGACAAGCAAGGAAATGTTTCATTTGAACATGAAAAGTGCTCTCTGTACCTCCCCCTCGCTGCTGTTATCCTCTCTGCACTTTCACCATATGTCCGTTTTTTTTCTGTATAGTATGATTCATGTTTTTTTTTTCTTCTCACTGAATAGCAGTACCTTTAAAAAATAAATGAAGTGGGCAAGCAGAGTTTTCCCACAGATTCTCCGAAAGGTTACTGGGGAGAGAGAGCTATCTCCTCTGATCAATTCTCCATATTGATGGTATGGATAAGAGGGGGAGCTGTCTAGCAAGCCTACATATTTTATTACACAGATATCCCCCACTATGATGAATCTCTAGTCTTGGATAGACTGCAGCTCCCGACCTCCATTTCAGGGAGATCACGTTCTCTGATTACAGTGTCAGCTGCCTTAGACCCCTAGATAAATCATAGATGGTACCCCAAAGCAAAGCTTCGGCTATCTATTACAGTAAATAATTTATTATTATAGACTGCTGAGTGCACATATGAAATGTGTTGGCAGACCGGAAGGAGTAGTAGAGAAAAAAATTTGAGTGCTGTAATGAAATTTCTAGAACTTGAAGATTTAAAAATATGTGTGTTGTGTTCATTAGTGTGTCTGTGTGCTTAGAAAAAGAAGACAGAACGCAATGAATAACAACTGCTTCTTTGGGAGAAAAAAACCCCAATGCCTCAGGAAAAAAGCTGTCAGACCCAGTTCCTATGGGTTGTTATTTTAGGAAACATGTTGCAAGTAAAAAGATCTCTTAAAAATACTTTTAAATGCATGGTTTTCATGTTTTACTTGATGCTTTTGAGAGTAAATCAGAATGACACTTTAACCCTTTCTAGTGTTAATTGGTTTGAAAGAAAAATAATAATAAAATACGCATGCCAATTTAATGTGTTAATTTAATACAATTATTATATCAAAATAATGTGAAGCATGTGGTAAAAATAAAAATATTGCATTTAACCCTTTACCCATGCAGTGCTACAGGCTGCTTGGCATTGCAAACCACACTTATAAAATGATTGTGGAGCCGTTCATGGATGCGTTCTTGGTTAAAAAACAGCTGAACGTAGCGCAATGAATGTACTCTCGAAACACATTTATAACATAGCATCTTAAATGTGTGTTGCTCATGGTGTGAGATGCTGAAAAAAAATGTCCTAAGCCCTTTCAGTCCCCATCCGAGTCCACATTTTGGTGATGCAATGCTGCATAGACTATTAGGTAGTAGTCTGCTTTGGAGCCAACATCAATTTGGGTGGCTTTTCTTGACAAATATTGATATGTGATTAATTTTGATTTACTCAAATAAAAGTTTTAATTTACAGCCCCACTTGAAACTGACATCCACTTGCAGTTGCCCGTGAAGAGCTTTTGTATTGTGCAGCCTCTCCAGAGAATGCAGTGAAAGCAATCAAATCTCTCTTTGCTCTCCTCAACAGGTGTCCATGAACTGTGACTATGTGTTTGTGAATGGAAAAGAGACGCGTGGCTCCATGAACGCTCGGGTGATTTTCAGCTATGAGCACCTGAGTGCTCCTCTTGAGCTCACAGTCTGGGTGCCCAAACTGCCCCTTAAAGTGGAGCTCTCAGACAACAGACTGAGCTTCATCAAGGGCTGGAGGGTGCCCATATTACCCGACCGCAGGTAAGACACATCAGTGATCTAAGCGTATGAAAATACTTGCACTCTGACTGCTTTTTATGCATATTGATTTCCCTGGTAGCACTTCTAATGCATGTTTTCTTTTCTTCTGTTGCTTGTTTATTTCGATCCTCCTAATACTTGTGGGTGTTATGAGGGTGATAAAACGGTGTTATAGTTTAATTAGTGGAGCTGTTAAAAGCTGTAAAGCTGGGTCACTAAGGACTGTGTTAGTTACAATACGGCTATCATCAGCAGCCATATCACCCTGCAGCCCAAGACTGGTTGCCCACTGAAGCTAAGCAGGGTTGAGCCTGGTCAGTACCTGGATGGGAGACCTCCTGGGAAAACTAGGTTGCTGCTGGAAGGGGTGTTAGTGAGGTCAGCAGGGGGTGCTCACCCTGTGGTCTGTGTGGGTCCTAACGCCCCATTGTAGTGACGGGGACACTATACTGACAAAAAGCACCGTTTTTCGGATGAGACGTTAAACCGAGGTCCTGACTCTCTGTGGTCATTAAAAATCCCAGGATGTCTTTCGAAAAAGAGTAGGGGTGTAACCCCGGCATCCTGGCCAAATTCGCCCATTGGCCTTTGACCATCATGGCCTCCTAACCATCCCCATATCTGCTGATTGGCTTCATCACTCTGTCTCCTCTCCACCAATAAGCTGGTGTGTGGTGGGCGTTCTGGCGCAATATGGCTGCGGTCGCATCATCCAGGTGGATGCTGCACACTGGTGGGGGTTGAGGAGATTCCCCCTTCTATGTAAAGCGCTTTGAGTGCCCAGAAAAGCACTATATAAATGTAAGGAATTATTTTTTTACATTTTTTTTTATTATAGAGCTGATGCCACATGAGACCCGAATGTCATTCTTCATACAGCCCATTTACTGTGATTTTGACAAATTGAAGCAGTGGTGTTGTTACACCGTGCACGGCAGAATATCAGCACAGGCATTTTTCACGAGGAACCTCTCCAGAATGAATCATGATGGAAAATATTCTGGTAACTCACTAGTATCATTATTGCTCCCTTACAGAGGTCTTTCTTTTTTGATGTAAATCTGTAATTAAATTAATTCAAATGGGCCATTAAAATGGAAATATGATCTGATTCGGTTATGCTAATCCAATTTGGGAGCAAATCGTCAATCTACATCTAGCCTTCATGTAGGGCTGGTGATGTGACGCATGTACCATGCAACGGAAGAAAAAAGTCAACCATTAGAAATTCAGCAGTAGAGATTTATCTTTGGCATATTGGTTCCTAAGCAAAATTGGAACATTTCAAAAATATCAGAACAAATAAAAATCATTTATTTAAAAAATCATTTATTCTCGTCAACTATACAGTTTGTGTGCACATGTGGGTAGCTGCTAGGATGCATTTAGCTCGCTAGATTAAGTATAGATGTATGCAAAGTCTCTCAGTGCTGTGATATTTCAGCATTTTTCCCTGTTTTATATGGACAACACACACACAATACAAGCATGTTGTTACATTTGCATTTGACCTCAATTTGAGTGCCTTAGATTTAGCTTCCTCCCAGGACCCGAGATCTCCAAGGCGTTGTTCACACATACAATCTCTGTGTGATCAGCTCAAAATCTGATTTGTTTTCCAGTTCCAATCTTTATCTCAGTGTCTGCACTGGCATTTTGCAAGTGAAGAATCAGATCTGGTAAATTTATCTGGTTACTATAGTAATGACTTTAGAGTCAGCATGACACCAAAAGACATAAGACAATAGCTGTCACTACGGAGGGAAAGAGAAGATGGCAAAACTGAACATTTGGTCTCATATTCATATTCATCCCGATATCACAGTGCTGAACTATGGTTCATAAGACTTAACAGGGTACCAGCTAATCCTGATTAATCTCCTGATTTCTTTCAGTTCCTTTTTAAATTGAATAACTTTAAAAGAAAAATGTTCAGAAAATAAAGTGTGTAATCTCTACAAGCTTATACATTTGTGTGGATGACACTAATAGCAGACTAGTCTGTTTTTTCATCTACAAAATCATTTGTTTTTAAGAGACCCTAATAAAATGAAAGTGAACATGAAATGGAAATTGTGTAAAACACACACACATGTTGATATATGTGGTTTACGGGAATTATCCATAGGCATAATGGTTTTTATCCTGTACAAACTGTATCTTCTATCCCCTTACCCTAACCCTACACCTAAACCTACCCCTCACACAAAACTTTCTGCGTTTTAAAATTTTCAAAAAATCTTGAACATTATAAAAATTTCTGTCTCGCAATTAATTGCTGAATAAAAGTATTGATTTCTCTACAACAACAACAAAAGAAAAAAACTCCAACTTTTGAAAGGTAGTATTTATAAAATAAGCTAGGTCAGTTTTAATTTCATGCCGACTTTAATGAGAATGCTAAGAAATATCCAGTATATTACGAGTTAAAGAAACACATTTCTTGTTTGTGTGGATAAAGGCCATTGAAGCCTTACTGATGGATCTGTGGGGAAAGGAGAAAAGAAAGGAAACTGCGTGAGGCAACACAAGCATCAAAGGCATTTCTGTACTGTTTACACATTCATGCATATTCTGTGTATAAAACCACTCATTTGTTCACTTATTCATAGTGAATTTCACACGTAAGCATGTAAGCAGAAAGGAGCGAATTCAGACAAAGCAGTTCAGCTCTGTTTTGTGTCTTGACATTACTTACATTTTATTTTGAAATATGATTTAACCATTCACACTGAAACTTATTTTCATACGTTTGATTATGACCAAACAACTAACCAGATTCGAATACACCACAGAATCCGCTGCCTGTTTGAACAATCCCTTATCCTTATTTCCTTTCTGTCTTCCCTTCCTTTAGTTCTTTCCTCCTCTGCTCTGTCCATTTCATTCCACTACATTGCCCAATGTTGAGACGTGTCAGTGGGCAGGTTTCTTGCATTGGCCTTCTACACAGATTGATCGATATAGCTCACTAAACTGGTGAAACGATGTGTCTGCAAAACTGGACACTGATTTTTATTGGATGAGCGGGTACCCGTGCATGAAATCTCCAGTTCTCCCGACGTTATAATGAGTTCAAGCAAAGCTCCACTTTTGAGGTGTGTTCTTCTGCTCTGAAACTCATATTAACCTGTATGAGGAGACAAGAGAGTGCAACTGTCTTCAAGAACACAGAGTGCTTCTACCTGCCAGGTTCAGCACTCTTCAACTGATGCAAGAGCCTCTTGTTTTTCACCTCCATGGCAACAGGAGCCTGTGTTTAACTCAGAAGAGAGCAAAATGCTGATCAACAATTGCTTTCTACTTTCATGAGGCTTCTCCTTCTGCATTTGTGTGCCTGTCAATCTTTCGTCGTTGCTGAGAAGTAGCAGTGTGTCTCCTTACATGATAATGCAATGTTTTACATTCAGCTCAATTTAGGCTAATCGATGGGCAGGACATGCTTTGTCAGTCAGAGGCAGACAGCTGTCTTTACAACTCCAGTTATCTGATTAATTAGTTGTGTGTGTAGAATGGGTGAAGTGGCATTCAGCTTTGAAGATCCACCCAGGCCTTACCCTGCTTCCTCTCACTTACTTCACATGGTGTCATGCTGCTGAGGTAGCAGATGAGATAGATTGAATGTGATGGTATGTGTGAGGCATGCAAGAGTCACTGATGCAAAACCTCCTTGAAACAGGTCTCCAGATGATGCACTTTCTGATGCTGGAATTTCTAACAAACTTTGTGGGGGGAATTCACTAAAAATGGAACGTTGTTCAGCATGCATTGTCTATTGTTTTAACACTCAGTGCACTTATGAAATGCAAATTAATTAGGTAATGAGACAAACATGGCAAAAAAATCTGTGCTAAACACATTTTCAGTCTTGGAAGCCGGTAAAGTACACTTTATAGCATCATCTTATCTGTGCAGTGTCTTGTGCATCGTTTGGAGACCATTGGATGAATAACTCGCTATAGATCTATAGAAAATGTACACCAACACCCAATTTAAAAAAACAAACAAAAACATTTATAGCTTTTTTTAATGTGCTTTGTGTTTTTATTTAGATTTTTTTGTTTGTTTTGTTTTGTTTTGTTTTATTTGTTTTATTTGTTTTGTTTTGTTTTGTTTTGTTTTGTTTGGTTTGGTTTTGATCTAAGTGAAAAGTTTTAAAAGTTTTTCCTGAATATTGAATTAAACAAGTTTCAGCTTATTGTGAATTTATTTGTATGTATCGGATTATAAACCAACAACAATTGTAAGATTCAGTTTTCGAGCCATCAAGTGCTACTTTGAGGAAGACCATTTGTGTATATTGGTAAACAGTAACATTTGTCACTCAATGTTAAAACTCAAAACTCTTCTTATGTGTTTTCTGTTCCTGTTTGTTTCTGCAGAACACCTTTTGCTTTTGCTTTTGCTTTTGCTTTTGCTTTGCTTTGTGCGTTGTGCTTTGATTTGATTTTGTTTTTTGTTTTGTTTTGTTTTGTGCTTTGCTTTATGCCATAATATTTTGGCCAGGTTCAAGACTGATGATTTTTGATCATCTCACCCTTTATAGTTTGCTTAATCCACCTTATTCCAAAGGAAAAAACAATAGTTTCCTTATAATCTTATAACTTGCTCCACCTCTGAAACAACTTTTCTTTTCAGCAATCTAATCATTTACAAACTTATGTTAAAGTGTTCTACAGAACAGTAATTTTTTTTACAGATGTGCACGTCGCCTTCTAAACTGAACTTTGAATTCTCTATTATACATGTTTACACACAAAAAAAGTGGTTTCACATAGGATTATTTCTGTGTTTTTCCTAAAAGGTAAATGTTCAGATCATCTGTTAGTCCAGCCTCATTTCACTAAGTTGCCATTTAAAGTTCACTAAACTTGAATGCAAACTTAATAAACAGTGAAAGACAAAAATTCTTAGCACATGCTGGTGTGCCTGTTCTTCCACATGATCATTCTTATGAATGGAAGTTAACTGAACATAAATTCTAGTGTGAGTTTCTTATCTATAGTAACTCATAATGACCTCTCACCCATCTCCTCAGAACGGCCAGAGACAGCGATGATGATGATGAAGATGACCGTAAAGTGAGCAGAGGATGTACACTGCAGTACCAGAGAGCCCAGGTTAAGGTTCTGACCCAGTTCCACACAACCTCTAGTGAAGGCACAAACCAGATGATCACTATGCTGGGTCCTGACTGGCAAGTGGATGTGACAGAACTGGTGCAAGACTCTCTGAAGGTGGTGGATGCCAGGGTGGCTGAGCTGGTGGACAGGACGGTACTCGTGGCCAACGAGCTTGGATCATCCACTCTGAAGGTAGAATACAAATAAGAACAGATCGTATAAATGCAAGATTGATGGATTAATGGGGGGATAGGTGTATGGATGAAAAATGTGTTTTGGTGAGCTCTCAATACCATATAACAATGCAACTATATAACCTACAATTAAATTTTGCTATATTACATTCTCTTCATCCAATATTACTGGACACTGGTCCTTACTCATGGTTTTATACCTGTCAAAACGTAATGCAAAGTGTCTTAGGGACAATTATTCAATCCCTTTTACAGTCTCATATATTCAAGTACAAACTTTACTTTCACTGACTTCTCTGGTGTTATGCTTTGTACACTGGCAGGGGGACTTGTTTTATTTTTTGTTTTATTTAATTTTTGTGTTTTATTTTTTTATTTTATTTTTATTTTTTGCTGGAACTATAAATGGGTTTGAAGACTGATCATTTCTGCTCATCTCATCCTTTCTCTTTTATTTTGTGACAACAATTGCTCTTAGTCCAGAGTCAACATAGCTAACTGTTTTTAAATAGACAGATTCCTAATTATATACATTTAGTTTACAGATAAAATCAATAAGGGTGTCTATTTAACATTCTTTGAATTTATCAAGTTAGCTCTGCTGCCTGTCTTTATCCTTTAATGCCTCTTTAGAAAGCTACTCATATGCATATTTAGTCCCAGTAGGCTATTCAGGAACTGGGATGTTTGGAAAGAGAATTATCTGTGTGGTATAAAACTTCAATGGTGTTAAATTGGGGGAATCATCCTTGAAAGTTTTCTCTCCATTGAATCAGCACACATCAGTTCATTGTGTCCAAACAGAGGGAGTTTTGATTGTTCGTGACAGCTTGATCACACCTCTCCAAAAGTGTTGTCTGTTGTTTGGCTTCAGAAAGTGTCTGTTTTTCTCCATAAACAAATCTGAGCATAAAAGAAAAAGTTTGGTAATTAAACTAGGCGAAACGGCAAAGGTCATTAATAATTAATGGCCAATGTAGAATTGGAATGTTTTCACTGAATGTGAGCTGAAAATAAACGAAACTGAGCACAGAGCATAATTTCACCCTTACAAAAAAAATAAAAAGCAAAGGCAAAAAGAAAGGTATGAATAATGTTGTTTATAACTCACACCAGGGCTTTTTTTATCTTATTTGGTGGGTCTTTGATCTTCATCTGCCACAGCGTTCATCCTCCACCCGTCACTATGACCTAAGCACAAAGACGCACAACCTTTAAGCTTTGAACGTCTCTCACGACACATTGTTTTGAGGATCTTATGAACAGCAGAAGGTATTCTTGACCCGTTCTTAGCATCGACTGAGCTGTAATGGTCCTGTGAGCCAATGTACGTATTTCCTATGACTTAATTGGCTTTCCAGGTCTACCAAGTAGAGTAATTAGGTTTTGGGGGAATAGGCAGACCCTTTTTAGCCTTTGAACACACTCTATTCAAGCATCCAAAGCTCTGGTTATAATGCAAACATCAAAAGCTGGTATATCAGCAAGTATAAGAAAACTAATTGCTACCGCCTGGATACCAAACAAATGAGCCATTCTGGAAAGAATTTGTTTTTAGTTCCCCTTTTTCTATCTGTTATTCCTTTTCTCTCCTTCAGATGTGCTTTATCTTTGAAGCCTGCCTTGAACGCAGGAAATAAAAAATGCAGGAACAAAACAGTTCAGTTCAATTTTACATTCATCTGGTTTTCTCCCCGGTCTATATCCCCTTTCCAGCCGGAGGAAAGGAGATGGGATTGTATAGGACTGGATGGTCAATGAACTGTAACAGCCTGCTCCAAAACATTAGTGCATTGGGACACAAACAATGTGCATCTGGGACATATGGGTCGCAAGTCTAGGCTGGATCAGGAAAAGCCTGGGTTCAGCTCCCTGGCGCCCACCGCACTGTGTGCTTCAGCGAGAGAAAACTGCAAAATGGTTGGATGGGATTTTTATGCCAAAAGATGGCTGAGAATGGCCACTTCACAGGCGAAGTATAATCAACAGCATGGCTAGTTCGTAAACCTACATCAGCGTTGAGGGCTTTTAGCTGGAGATGGGTAATTTTGAAGAGGCAAGTAATAGCAGGTTGGATGAAAATGTTTGCTGCGGAGCTTGGAGATTTCTGAACACCATTAAAAGTCATTATGGACTTTATTGGGCTAAATTATCAAGAGAAAAATTAGCTTTGCTCCCTCCTGTGTGGTTAAGTGTAACTAGCTCTGCTGAGATTAAGCCAATTATATGAAGGTAACATTTTTGTTCTTTGTTTGGAATAGCTGTAATTGAAAAGAAAGATAATGAACTATAATTGTGACATATACGGATGGTGTCAAAGCAAAACGAACTTCAGTTTCTGTCAACATCTTTTAATGTTCTTTACTAGTCATAATTCTTTAAACTTCTGTTTGTCATGGAGAGACTGTAGACTTGGCTACTGGCAATGGTTCAGTCTGTTTTAAAATTCATCCAAGCTCTATGTACTTCTCCCTCTGATTATGTCTTTCTTGAGGCAAAAAATACTCCACGTAGGCTGACTTGTTCTTGTCTTGCAAAATGCTAATTTTCCTGAATTATGAAAAGTGAAAAACCATCCATATATTACAGCTTGTTTTATCTAACATGGCGCTTTGTGGCTCTTGGGATTGCCAGGGTCTCATGGTTCAGCAAAGACACACAGAAAAAAAAAAAAAGAGAATATCTGACCCTCCTAGTCGTGCCTCCCCACTTGACTTTTCACTTGGTAAGTCCCTGGTGACCTTTAACGGTGGTGGGAGGTGAAGAAACTGTGACATAATGGGTTTGAAGTGTCAGATGGAGGATTTATGTGGAGGCCGAGTGCTGGCGGTCCTCTGGAGAAAAGGTGTATTTTCCCATCCTTCCTTTACTCAGTGGGCTGTGTCTTGAATATGTGAGATTATCCACTAAATGTTTCTCTTTGTGTCTTCACTCCTCCCCATGCTTTATTCCATTTAGGCTGTCTTTCTTACTGTAAAAGGGCATCATGTTTTGTTGGTTTCAGGTTGAATCTCCACTGGCAGTGGAGGCGGTGCTGGGTGAAACACAGTTCTCTGTGGTAGACGATAAAGTGTCCATAGTGGAGCTACGTGTTCATGCCATCTCAGGACTGGCACTTAATCTTCAGCCAAGCCCTGGCAACAGCCATACCATGGTTGCCAAGGCAACTGGCCTGCAGACTCTCTCAGCTCTTAAGCAGGTATAGTTGATTGCTTCATTGTTTTTCATATCTTCTACAATAAATGACATGCCGTCTTGCTTTCTTGATGGTATTTTGTTAAATCCTCTGGTATATTATTCGATCAGAACTTTTTTATGAATGAATGTTTAACCAGACTGAAGACTCCTTAAGGTTCTCAAGCAAATTTTTTGAACTTAATGTAGTGGTTTGTTTCTTGTGCAAGGCAGGTTTATTATCATTAACTAAAATGAAAACTGAACCATTAAAAAAAAAAAATACTTGAAATAAAACTTAACTTGTTATAATTCATAGTTGCCAAAACAATTAAGTATTAAAATAACTAAAACTACATAAACTAAAATAAATAAAATACTATATATAATAAAATACTATATTAACAAATACTATATAGACATTTTAAAAAATACAAACACAACAAAACAAAATTACTTAAACTTAATTAAAATTAAAGTGAAAACAAAAACTAAATAATAAATATTTAATAAATACAATTTATTTTAAAACTTGAACAAAAACTATAGTATATCAATACTACTGATACTAAAATAACACTGGTCTTAAGAATTCTACCATCTAATAAACTTGACCAAGATGGTCTTCCAGCTCACCCTGGCCCCCATTTGCTAGCAGAACCAGCTAATCAACACTAAAACCCATATAGAGCCATCTATAAACCACGTATAAACCATGTAAAACCATCTTGAGTTTTTTGTTGTTTTTTTCTTTTTTTTTTTTTCTTTTTCATTTTAGCTGAATTTTCATTGTATCATCATTATGAATGAAGACCCATTGACGATGGCCGTACAAAGTCGTATATTCTGATTTGAAACCCTAGAAATTTTCACACTTGTTTTGGCTTAAGAAACACATTGAAGAAATTAATTTATAGGCTACACAACATACAAACTTGTATCTTCACATAATTGTCTAAATATGACAGTAACATTCATCATCATACCCTCTGCATCTGTGTACAGAAAAAAGCTCTAACCTTTGGACCCTTGCTCTAATTACGCAAGTGACATTTATGTGAAATTCCTCCTTGTTGCTCAGGACCATTCTGCTCATGAAGAGTTAAAGTCTGGCTGAGTTTAGCCTCATATTGATGATTCGAGTCTCCATGAAGGTTACACACCATCGGCAAATTAGCCTCAGTTCAGTCTTTCAGCCGCCCCTCACTGCTTTAATAAAGCCTTGTTTGGCATTCAGACATATTCAAATCTCCTTTAATATCAGCACACCAAATGAGCAGGCATCTTGCTTAATAAGAAGCCACCGCCACTTCTGTTCTCTGCCATTCTGGAGTGTCATCAGGGGAGCTTCATGCGGTTGCTGTATAATCTTTTCAAAGCATTAATTGGAGCACATTCGCTCGCATTTTCCAGCGAGGACCTCGTATGCTGCCGTGCTAATTTATACAATGTCTTGGGCAGGTCACGGAGCCCTGCCGTGAGTGCTTGGGGCCCGTTTTCTTGCTCTGTACGTAGCCTGTGACCAACATCCAACATCAGACGAGGGTGGCTGCTTTTAATTCATGCATTAAAATCCAGCGGTTCTCCCCCGCTCTCTGCTTCACCACCTTTGGTTTTAATTAGCGTAATGTATCAGCCTAAGTGCTTGTGGAGACTGTGCTATAAACATCACTGATGACCCTCCTCCTTCTCCTCCTCCTCCTCCTCCTCCTCCTCCTCCACTGCAGCCCTTCCGTCATTTCAATCCTTCAGTGCACTTACCTTCTTCACCTCTGCAGTCACAAAATAACTGAAACTTTGTGACTATTTCTGCCCGCAGTTGTGTTAGATTTCCTGGTAACACTTAACAGTTCAATTTGATGGTGTTAGTTAATGCATTAGTTATCATGAACGTTTAAGAACAACAATAGCATTTATTAGTCTTTGTTCAAAAGTATGGATATAATGTAAAAATTAGTTAAAAGTGTAGTGACACTTTAGTTTATGGACCAATTCTTACTATTAACTAACTATTACCTACGGCTTTAGCTGTAGAAACTCCTAATTTGCTGCTTATTAATAGTTAGTTAAGGTAGTTGTTAAGTTTAGGTATGGGGACAAGATTAAGGGATCTAAATATGATCATGCAGAATAAGACATTAATATGTGCTTTATAAGTACTAATAAATAGCCAATATGCTAGTAATATGCATGCCAATAAGCAACTAGTTAATAGTTAAAATAAATCCAAAAGTTCATTATAATGTAATTCTACCTATACATTACAATGTCAAGTTTAAGCTAAAATTAACCTAGATTTAAAAAGTTGAATTTTTTTTATGGGGTTAATTAATAAATATGTTAGGTCACACTTTATCTTGAGGGCCAGTTCTCACTAACTAACAATTAACTACAACTTTTGGTCCCACTTTATATTAAGTGGCCCTAATACCTGTGTGCTTACATAGTAACTAGATGTGTACGTAGTATGTAACCACAGTGTAAGTACACATTGGTACATAGTGTCTACAGCTCTAATGTTTGTGTAACTACACATATGTAACAACCCACTGAATGGTGTGTGTAAGTACAAATGTGTAACGGGACATTGGTAACAACACTTTTTGGTAATGAAAGTACAACTGTGTAACAGGACTAACAGCACTTTTTGGTAAAGAAAGTGGTACACTTTATATTAGATTTACCATGTAATTACTCTGATGTTAAACTGCAGCGGCCAGTAAGTTAGGCTTTACATACAAATTGTGGTTGGTGTCCAGAATGTTACACTTTATATTAAGTGGACAGTTCCTGAGGAGTTACCATGTAAGCACACTGGTATTACAGTGGTGCACCAACTTCACCAAATCGAGATCCAACTCCTCTTACTTTACATATCCCTAAACCTAACCGTTTCCACCCTCTGGATCCCATTTCCACCCCTAAACCTACCCATCTCCACCCCCTGGATCAAATGGTTCCAATTACTCTTATACATATTGTTGTTACAATATGTAGTTATTTAATTCCTGTTACACGAGTACTTAGTGAAGTGAAAAAAAGTGTTGTTACCAATGTCCTGTTACACATTTCTACTTACACAAACTATTCTGAGTGTTGTTACATGTGTGTAGTTACAGAAATATTAGAGCTGTAGATACTATGTACCAATGTGTACTTACACTGTGGTTACATAATACGTACACATCTAGTTACTATGTAAGTATGGAGCTTATAATATGACAATACTATTTGAATTTGAATTGTGTAAATTTGAATTATTGACAAGTGTCATTTAACAAAACTGAATTTTATGTGGCATTTAACAGTTCTGAATTAGATTTTTTGTAAATATTTAACATTTGAAATGTAATACTATTTAATTTTTTATGGCAGTTTTTTTTAATAGACATGTATTTTCATACAGCGGACTTTTTGTTCTGAATTGTTAGACTGCAAATATCCAGTTTTTAAAAATAAAGCTTCAAGTTTTCAAGATGAAGAAGAAATTCGGAACATCAAATTCAATATTCAAAATTCAATGCGCAGAAATTCAGTTCGTACAGAAAGTAGGTCAGAGGTTATCCACAGTGAAGAGTAGATGATCTCCGAAAAGTCGAACGAAGCATTTACGGTGACCGGAGTGGACATGTTCAGTTCACTTAGGCTAGTTTCGTTGTGGCCACAACATATTAACTCGTGGAAACGTGGCCACGAGATCATTTTGTGGAGATAATCGTATGGAGGGTAAGATTAAGAGATGTAGAATATGGTCGTACAGAATAAGACGTTAATGTGTGTTTTATATGTACTAATAAACAGCCAATATACTAGTAATGTGCATGCAAATAAGCAAGTAGTTAATACAGGAATTGGTCCCAAATTAAAGTGTTATCTTATATTATTAGCTGTTAATTCAAGTATGTTGATAATATATCGAATTATGTTAATTTATCCAAACTAATTTGTAATTTAATCAAGTAATTTAAACAGTATCTGTAAAGATTAATATTGACCTATATTAATAAATGCTGTCAATATTGTTCATGATTGCATTAATCTTAACAAATTCAAGCTTCTTACATAAAGTGTTACTGATTTTCTTGTTCTTTCTTTTAGATTTTAGATGCCCCTTTCCTTTGTCTCACCAGCAGCCTTAAATAATTGATTTTGCTGTATGCTGGTGTAAGCGATTATTCTGTTTCAAAGTTCCAAGTGTCTTGGATGCTTGAACATTTTACTTCTGTAGTTTGTTACATACAGTGAATACAAAATTACCTTCAATATAGATCTCAAACACTTTTACCAGTTAGAAATTGAATGGCATATCCATGTAAAAGTTACAGTGTCATCTCCCAAAGACTGAAGCCTCAAGGATCAAGGGCCATTCATGATTGATGCCATTTTATTTAGTGGCTAGAGTGATCTCGAAAGGTCCGTGAGGACAACATGTCGTCTTCAATGTATTATTCAGATCATGCATATCAAAGACTCTCTTCATCTTGACAAGCAGCATTGACAGAGCCTGAGCCCGAACAACCTTGAAGTTAGTGACACGACAGAAGAGTTTTTTTTACAGCCTCACAACAGGCCATTGCTGACTGGAGGCAGATAAATACTTCTCTTCCTGAATATAAAAGCAAAGCAACACTTCATTTCTGACTAAAAGCACTCTGGCAGAGTGGTTTCATTTTGTCTGCCTGCCAACAGGTGTAAGGTGTTGTGCTGTTCCTTTAGCAGAGACCCAAGCAGGAAGGCAACTGTCAAGCTTAGGCTTGTTATGAGGTGACAAGAACACAAGCGTCGTGCCAGTTCTATTTCCCCTCAGCCTGTGTTTCTAACAGTCAAAGCATGCAAGCCCTTCTGATGTTAGCTGCATGTTGCTTGCTCAAGACAATCTTGTATGGACCAGTAAACTCAAGATAATGAATATTTAAAGGTTTTTTGAAAGTCAGGAGATGAAGATGGTAACACTTACAGTATTGATAATCTCTTTGTTGTAAAGAGTTTGTAAAGGGAATTTTCCCTGAACAAACTCCTAATTTG